TTAAAGTTTAAAAATTAAGTTATAACTAAGTTAAAATTATAAGAATTAATTTATAACGAGTTAAAATTTAGAGATTGAGGTATAACTAAGTTAAAACTAAAAATTAAATAATTAATTTTTCCTATAATATTTTACCAATTGCTGGGCTTTGAAAACCGTGAGATTGTTTTAGTATAAATTAGTTTTTAGGTCCAATCTTGATAAGTCATGAAAAATAAGCTCAGGTTAGCCCTGACAAAACTTGTTGGACTATAGGTTAGTTTTTGCTACTATACCCAATTGTGATATTCGTATCTAGGGGGATATAATTGAGTTTCTAAGTTGAAGATAGAATTGCTCTATCTGATTGTGATATTTTTGTTATGCTTGATTGTTTGGTTATGTTGAAAATGTTGCTTTGCTTTTTTTTTTTTTGTTTTAATGCAGCTAATTGTAAAGAGAGAATATTTATATTTTGGATGATGATAATTTGCATCTGTATCATTTATATTTTATTTTTTTGTATTTATATTAGTACTTCTATTATTTTAGTTAGAATTTAGATCTTTTTTTATCGCTCACACATATTTTTCTATCAAAGACAATCTTATTTAAGATATAATCATATACTAAATGCTGGCACCCCTTCCAAAGGGGGTTTGAAGATTTGTCCACTATATTGTAAGGAAGTAATCCCTTTTGCTAGATTTTAAATCTTGAGACGGTCCTTTATATAATTCTTTATGATCTTTTAGATTTTATATATGCACTATCACAATTCAAAACTTAAATTTGTAATAAATTATGAAGGTATTTACATTCAACTAGGGACGAATGTAGGGGGCACGGGGGGTGCTCCCCCCCTCCCCAATTTGATTGGTCCTTGAAAAATTTTTAGAATTTTTTTTATTTTACTTGTTAAAAAAGTAAAAATTAATATTAGCACCCCAATATATTTTAAGCATTTCTCATTCCCCCCCCCCAATATGTTCTTTTCTGGATTCGTGCCTGCACTCAACCTTGAACCTTATCAATTAAAGCCTTACATGCTTGAGGGAAATGATCAAGAATTTGAGTACAAGGATTTATGGGCTTTGGTGCCTCAGCCAGCCCATACTGATAGCTCTAGATATCACCCCAAAAAAAAAAAACTATCTATAAATTAAAGGATTTTCATTGGTAAAAGATTGAGTAGAATGTCGTGGTATGAAGCCACTGATTCTCAAATAGGGATGCATTATTATTATGAGTCCTAATGTTGTGGTATAGTTTTCCCGCCTAACATTCTTTTCTTAGTGATCATTAACTATTGATATATTGATAACAAGTTGATTGATGACTATTACAATATGTGTAATGTAAAAATATGCAAATTATACAAAGTATAATTAATGAGTCCTTAAGGTTTGGGGTGAATCATATTATACTTATGAGTATAATTTAAAAAACGAACCAGACTGCCTGTTGAATTGGTTAATTATAGATATAATTAGATTACTGTGAGTGTTAGTGTGTATTATTTTTTAAAAATATTTACTATATTGATAATTATATATCTATAGTTTTCCATGTTAATTATAATGAGTCCTAATAAACTTAATTATGGGATTATATACAAATCAACATTATAAAATGCACATATCAACATCCTTTTTCCCCCCTATAAATTTCATGAAACTCATATTATTGATTAATTTTATGTCAACCAAAACCTAAAATTACCATCACTTTCGTCCCTAGCTAGTTATGTTGGCACAGGTGGGCTAGGGAAAAAAAAAAGTTCCACCTTCCTATACATACAAGAGAAAATGTTAAGCATATTACTCCCTCTGGACCATAATATAACACATTAGTAATTAATTTTTAATTTTAAAAAAATATTAGTTGAAACTTTAATTTCTTAAAAAAAATTCATGTTTTCAACTATACCCTTATTAAATGTCTCATATAAATGTCTTGATAATGAAAATTGAAATTTTAATACATTTTTTAAAAAAATAATGAATTAAATAAGAGTATATAGTTAGAAAAACAATCATAGAATTTATCCAATATTTTATATTTTAGATTAAATAAGACTTTTAAAGATATTTTATATTCATTTCATCCTAAATTATATGGCACTTTTGAAGGAGTTTTTTCATTTCAAAATATAATACACTTTCAGTAGATTAAGGTTTCATTAAATGCTTCAATTTCAATATTAACCTTTCTCTCTCTATAGTTAATTTTCATCACTTCTTTTTTCAATATATTAAATGGTGAGTATTTTTAAAAGTTTATATTTTTATTTTGAAAAAATAAGATTGTTAAGTGTATTTAATAAAATTTATTGATATGTAATATTTTATTTAAAAATATCTTATAATTTAAGGTGGGAGGAGTATTATGGTATGGAGAATATACAAATTAGAGAAACAATTAATGATTGAACTCGATCTGTGATTATGTGAGTTTCCTAGAAGCCGCAAGCATGAGCATTAATTAGCTAGCATGTTGCGGCTGTAGTTATTGAAATTCAAAAGTGATTTGTTGAATAAATAATGATGAACCCATTGACGAAGGATTACGTAAGTGAAAGAATAAAATAAAATAATCAACTCATCTAGTTTTCACAATAACTAGGAGCTGTCAACAACCTAGAGCTCCAGCTTCTGGCTATATCCATGTGCTCATTCTGCCCAACGGTTTAAGACTTTGAGAGCAAGTTTTGTTCATTCCAAAGTGCTGCTACTGACTGTTTATATAGCAGGAGCTGTGAAACCTAATCAATCACATGCACATATATACAGCATCCTTGTTCAAGTTGAAGCAATCAGAGGAAACTCAACCAGCAGGATGACAAAGTTGGTTTACTTAGTGTTGCTTCTCGTGATTGGGGCCATTGCTGGGGCAGAAGCTGATGGCTATGGCGTGTGTGGCAAGTTCAGTCCAGATAGAATGCTCACACATGTTCTTCGTCACTGTTCCAAACCAGCCAGAGACTTGACCGTTCCTGTGTCTCCAAAATGTTGCGAGCCTCTGTCGCAAGTTTCAGAGGAATGCTTCTACGCCATCATCAAATCTGACACGTGGAAATACTCAGGCATCAACCCTAGAATCGCCTTCACCATTCCCAGACGTTGCCACCTCATTCCCCACCATCCCTAGACTACTTACACACGCATCTCATAAACTAGTCACGCACCCAGCTATTGTAATAAGTGTGACTCTGTCCTTACTAAGAGCTCATTATAGAGGCTCATAATAAGATTGTTAAACACGTTTCACTGTAGATTTGGAGTCGACCGAGTGCATGTGTATCGTTCAAACTGTCAAGAATGGCGGATTCGTATGAGTTTGAATTGGTTAATTTGCTACGTTTATGCTTTAATTTAATCTCAAATATATGTAATAAGTTTTATATAAGTAAATTGTTCTTCTCTTGATTATGATAAACCACTTGGTAATTTACACAATTAGCTAGCGTTACTTGTTCGAATTCGATTCACATATCTTTCACTTTGAGATAAACGACTAGCTATATTAAAAAACCAGGTTCGTTTTTGTGGATAGATAAATGAGTTATTGGCCAGCAATGGTTAAAATTATGTGAAAGGTTTAATTCACCGTATAAGATCACAGTTTAAAATTTTTATGGATAAAAATAATCATACGTTAGGAGAACTAATCATGATTTGGCCCGATAATGTTGCAATATAATTTGATAATACTAACAAATAAGTATATTAAAAAATGAATTGAGTTATTTTCACTATCCCAACTTGATAAATTAGCTGATACTCATCATAGGAATAATTGATGTCAACTTATATATATATATATATATATTTAAAAATGTAAAGTTGACATGCATTTGATATATTTTAAGGAGTGAACCAAAGAACCCGTTAAATATTGACCTCCTTTATCAAATTTACTTATCTATTCCAAGAAAAAAATTATGAATTATAATATATATAGCAAACATATATGGGATGGTAAAATTCGACATGACATGATTTTTTTTAAAAAAATAGACATTATTAATTTTTATACATGGTTCAAAATCTATAATTGAATATATCCCATGATTTAACAATTTATTAAGAAGTTATTTCATAATTAAGGTACCTTAGTAGAAGAATAATCTATGCAAACCAATGGTATTTGAATTAAGTACGGAAAATGACTCAATTTCTCCCAATTATATTGAGGTCTCTCAGGGTGAATAGATATATTTGGTCTTCTTTATTAAGTTACAACTATTCATTCAAAAATTGAAAGGAAAAATGTATGAATTTTTTAATTGTATTAATATTAAATAGATCAAAATAGATTATGAAATTTTTTAATTAAGAGGATTTTTCATTTAAATCACGCATCATATTTTTATTAGAGCATAATAAGTAGTTAAAAACTTACACTAATTAATATTCTTCCATGCAAATAAGAGAGATATGACTGTAGCTAGAGAATACGCTTTAATTGTCTCTGGAATATTTCAATCCTATTCTTACATCTTTTTCAATAATTTGATTGAGTGGCTATGCAATTCAAGCACGAGCACGTACCTTATATAATATACTGGATGTACGTACGTTCGCTGAGAAGAAAAATATTGTAATTAATTAGCTATGCATGAGCCCCAGAATTTGACTTCATAAAAGCAGACTCAAAGGCTTTTTTTTTTTTTTATTAATGTCGAATCCATTGACCAAATAAGTCGGTGATAGAATTATTAAATTAATGAACTCATATTGTTTTTAACTTTTATTCATAATAATAGTTATAAAACTCCAGGTTCTGACTATCCATGTGCTAATCATTATATTCTGTGCAAGTCCTGAGAGCTTTTAAACAAACAAAAAGATCTGACAGCTGCAGACAAAATTAAAGAATCCGCGGGCTTGATAACTTGTTTCTCCATGGAAATCAATAAACTTAGATCCCAACTTGCAAAGCCAGAGGATTAAGACTTTGGGAAGAAGGCTCGTTCATTCCAAAGTGCTGCTACTGCCTATATATATAGCAGAAGCTGTGAAACACAATATCAATCACATACACATATATCTTCCTTGTTCGAGCTGAAGAAATTAAATCAGAGAGGATGAAGAAGTTGGTTTACTTGGTGTTACTTCTAGTGATTGTGGCCATGGCTGGGGCAGAAGCTGATGGCTATGGCGTGTGTGGCAAGTTCAGTCCAGATAGAATGCTCACACATGTTCTTCGTCACTGTGCCAAACCAGCCAGAGACTTGACCGTTCCTGTGTCTCCAAAATGCTGCGAGCCTCTGTCGCAAGTTTCAGAGGAATGCTTCTACGCCATCATCAAATCTGAGACGTGGAAATACTCAGGCATCAACTCTAGAATCGCCTTCACCATTCCCAGACGTTGCCACCTCATTCCCCACCACCCCTAGGCTACTTGCACACACCTTATGAACTAGTCACCTAGCAAAAGCACTACTGTAATAAAGTGGGACAATGTCCTTATAAATTATAATAACAAGAGCTCATTATAGTAGCTCATAATAAGGCTGTAAAGCATGCTTCTATAATTAATGTTGATTTATATTCAAGTGCACGTGCAGTTCAAACAGTAAAAATGGTGGATTCGTTGAGTTTGAATTGATTTGTTTATGTTTTAATCTCAAAGATGTATCGCTCAAGTTTTATATAAATAAATTGTTCTCTTAATTATGATGAACCAGTAGCTAGGTTTACCAAATTTTGAATTCCACATCTTTGGCATGAATCTTGCTTTGTTACAAGACAAATTGGGCTCTGTGGTTGGATAAATAAGTTGAGTTATTAATCAAAATTTGGTCAAGTGAAAGGAATACAATTAAGTAAGGTTGAGATTCAAACTTTATGGATAAAAAATGACAAATACCTGCTGCAATTAAGTCCAACAATATTCAAATATGGTATATGCATGGTAATACTCAGTCTATTAAAAAAATAACTTGTTATTGATTATATCATCAATTTGATAAATTAGTTCACGCTTAATAGGATTTCGACTTTTATTCCCCCATATCATATGCATCTTACGCCTTGGATTTCTTCTTTTATAAGGCTCACTATATTCTCATGATGTTTAATATAAGACATTTTGTGTAAAGCATTGATTTTTTTCCCTAGTTAAATATCCTTTAATTACTTTTGATATTCCCTACCTAATTTACTAAATAACTTCCTAGCTAATTAGCTAAACAATCTTCTCTAATTAATGAATTTCATTTAGAATGATTTTGAAAATTTAAAAAAATTTAATGAAATTAATATATAGAATTACTTAATATATCTAAATTTGTTTAATTAATAGTAGGTTTACCAGAGTGAGTACATTTTATGTAGTGAACCGATCTAGAGTTAAATATTTGCCTCCTTTATCAAATTAATTGTCTATTTTAAAATTCAAGAAGAAAATTATGAATATTAATAAATACTTCAAATTCTACGCTTGACTATTTTAACAACTTATTTAGTAATGATTTCATAATTAAGATATCTAATTAAATAATCTATTCGATCGACATAATAATGGTTGAATCACTTGGAGGAAGAGACTAAATTTTTCTTAAACAAAGTCTTAAGATTAATATCTTGAGAGGGATAATATCTATTATCGGTGGAATAATTGAGCCTACTATTTATGTTAAGAAAAACAAAAGTCTTAAGATAAAAAATATCAAGTTAATTAGTAGTCTTCTTTTTGGCCAAAAAAAAAAACAGTAGTCTTCTTTATCGACCAAATATCTATTCCAGAGTTGAAGAAAAAATGCATGAAATTTGTTACGAGTATATTATATAAAAAAATTTAAACTCATATTTTTATGAGGGACTATCAAATTTTAATTCATTTGTGTTGAACTAAGCCGTCCTAGTTGCTAGCTAGCTCAATTATTTTAATGGCTAGAATAATATTTAAAAAGAAAAATGATAATAAAATCTTTTACAATTATATAAATAACAATATAGTCCTTCAAAATACTATAATTTTACTTAAATCTCTAAGAATTTCTATGTCAATAAATTTTAAAGTAAAAAAATTATTTTATCCTTATTAAAAATAACAAGCACCAATCACAACTTTTATTTATTGAATAAAAATTTTTGTCTTGTAAATTGCAAGAATTGAATAAGAAATTACAACTTGTCAAATTTAATTTTTATCTCAAAATAACAAGCTCTAATAATAACTTTCTCTTAAGAAATAATAACTTTTATTTTGTAAATAGTAAGAATTGAATATAAAATTACAACTTGTCAAGAATAATTTTTTGTATTGAAAAACAAGTTCTCAAAATAACAAGCTCCAAACATAATTTTTATTTAAAGAATAACAACTTTTATTCAAAATTTTGCAAAAATTAAATAAGAAAGCACAACTTATCAATAAAGGTAAAATAATATTTTTTATTTAAAATTTATTGACACAAGAGTTCTTAAAGACTTAAATGAAATTATAACATTTCAAAGAATTAGATTGTTATTTATATTTGGAAAAATTTTATTACCATTTTTCCTATTTAAAATGCAAAACAACACTTTATTTCATTTAGCATTAAGATTGAATTTGATAAAGTACATGGCATTGAATGTACCATTATATATAAGGTAAAAATAATAGGAAAAATTGCTAGTAAATATCTTACTGGCATCAAAATTATGTTGGAGGACCAAAGGACCGAGTGTAAGCAAATAGACTTAGAATTTTATGATTATCTATTTGCACTTCGGTCTTTTAGTCCTTCAGCATAATTTTAATTTTAAGGAGGAACTTACTAACAATTTTTTCAAAGTAATATGTCATGCATGAAGCCAAAAATTTGACTTCATATATAAAGGCTGACCCAAAAGTTATTTGTTTAGTGATGCGCACAGCAGAACCCATTGACGAAGGAAGGAGTAGGTGATGGAATAAATTAATCGATTCATATATGATACAAGTTTTCGCAAAAACCACGACCAGTGTGATCACAGCTTAAGATTCCAGCTTCTGTCTATATATATATATATATATATATTATATCCATGGGCTTATCATTTGCAATCCTGGGACTTCAAAAATCATCCAAGATGGTCCTTTATTTGCCACATTGCAAGGAAGTAATCCCTTCTACTAGATTTTAAATCTTAAGATGGTCCTTTATAAAATTATTTACGATCTTTTGGACTTTATATATGCACTATCACAATTCAAAACTTAAATTTGTAATACATTATTTAGGCTTTTACACTTAACCTTGAACCTTATCAATTAAAACCTCACATAATTGAGGAAAATGATCAAGAATTTGAGTGCGAGGGTTCATGGGCTTTAGTGCCTTAGCCAACCCATATTGATAGCTCTAGATATCACCAAAAAAAAAAACCTCTCTATAAATTAAAGGATTTTGATTGGTAAAAAATTGAATAAAATGTTGCAGTATGGAGCCACTGATTCTCAAATAGGGATGCATCATTATTATGAGTCCTAATGTGAGGGATTTTTCCTCTTAATCTTTTGAGATCGGCTTCTTTTAAAGTTATATTCTTAACACAACTTTTTTAAGTAATCATTAACTATTGATATATTGATAACAAGTTGATTGATGACTATTACAATATGTGTAATGTAAATGAATGCAAGTTATAAAAAGTATAATTAATGAGCCCTTAATGTTTGGGGTGAGTCATATTATGAATACTTATGAGTATAGTTTGGAAGATGAATTGGACTGCCTATTGAATCGGCAAATTATAGATGTAATTAGATTACTGTAAGTGTTAGTGTGTATTATTCTTTAAACTATTTATTATATTGATAATTATATATCTATAGGTTTCCGTGTTAATTATAATGAGTCCTAATAAATTTAATTGTGGGATTATATACAAATCAACATTATAGAATGCACAGATCAACATCCTTTTTTTCCCTTATAAATTTCGTGGAATACATATTATTGATAGTACAACCAAAACCTAAAATTACCATCACTTTCGTCCTTAGTTATGTTGGCACAGGAGGACTAGGGAAAGAAAAACAAGTTTCGCCTTCCTATACATACAAGAGAAAATGTTAAGCATATTACTCCCTCTGGGCCACAATATAGCACATTGGCAATTAATTTTCAATTCTAAAAAAATATTACTTAAAATTTTAATTTCTTTAAAAATTTACATATTTCCAATTATACCCTTCTTAAATGTCTTATATAAATGTCTTGATAATAACAATTGAAATTTTAATGTATATTTTTTTAAAAATAATAAATCAAATAGGAATATATAATTAGAAAAACAATCATAAAATTTATTTAATATTTTATATTTTAGATTAAATAAGATTTCTAAAGATGTGTTAGATTATGGTATGGAGAATATACAAATTAGAGAAACAATTAATGATTGGACTCAATCTGTGATTATGTGAGTTTCCCTAGAAGCCGCAAGCATGAGCATTAATTAGCTAGCATGTTGCGGCTGTAGTTATTGAAATTCAAAAGTGATTTGTTGAATATATAATAATGAACCCATTGACGACGAAGGATTACGTAAGTGAAAGAATAAAATAAAATAATCAACTCATCTAGTTTTCACAATAACGAGGAGCTGTCAACAACCTAGAGCTCCAGCTTCTGGCTATATCCATGTGCTCATTCTGCCTAACGGTTTAAGACTTTGAGAGCAAGGTTTGTTCATTCCAAAGTGCTGCTACTGACTATTTATATGGCAGAAGCTATGAAACCTAATCAATCACATACACTTATATATAGCATCCTCGTTCAAGTTGAAGCAATCAGGGGAAAGTCAACCAGCAGGATGAAGAAGTTGGTTTACTTGGTGTTGCTTCTCGTGATTGTGGCCATTGCTGGGGCAAAAGCTGATGGCTATGGCGTGTGTGGCAAGTTCAGTCCAGATAGAATGCTCACACATGTTCTTCGTCACTGTGCCAAACCAGCCAGAGACTTGACCGTTCCTGTGTCTCCAAAATGCTGCGAGCCTCTGTCGCAAGTTTCAGAGGAATGCTTCTACGCCATCATCAAATCTGACATGTGGAAATACTCAGGCATCAATCCTAGAATCGCCTTCACCATTCCCAGACGTTGCCACCTCATTCCCCACCATCCCTAGACCACTTGCATGCTCCTCATGAACAAGTCACACACCTCTCTTGCTACTGTAATAAGTGTGACTGTGTCCTTAATAAGAGCTCATTATGGTAGCTCATCATATGAAGTTTGTTGAAATTGCTTTCGTGTTGATTTAGAGTGAAGTAAATGTGTAGTTCAAACTCGGAAAAGTGATGGATTCCTTGAGCTTGGATTGGTTTCTTTATCTTTAACTCAAAGATGTATTAAGTATATATATATATATATATGTATGTATGTATGTATAATTAAATAATTTTTTCATCTATTAATTATGATTAACCAGTGGAGATATTTACCCTGTTAGAAAGCTTTGCTTGTTTGGATTCCACATCTTTATTCTTTGACATGAAATAGCATGCTGTGTTCCAAAACACATTAGGCTCTATGTTTAGATAAGTAAATTGAGTTATTAACCAAATGATGGTTTGGTTGGA